TTAGATGTACAGCAAAAGATGTATAAATTCATTCTTTATCCACCGCTTCCCTCCATCAGCAGAGCATAGCAGGAACTCCAGGCTCTACCGCTACAAATCCAGTGGCTCACCTGAAAGCAAGCATGTGGCTTTGCTCTTGGCTTGCTCATTTGCAAGCATAGAAGTTAGCATCTCATGCTTTCAGGGCATGCTGTAAATACCGCTTTCAGGCCCAGCATTCGGTGCCCTCATTGCTTGGAATTGTCGTCTTCCTTGAATACTTTCTGTGTTATCACTAGGAGCCTGCTTGGCAGACAGCTCCACAAATGGAGGACTGTCTGTGATTTGCCTTGAGTTTGTTGCTGAAATTCCTTCTCAGAAGCTTATGTCAAATGACAGCCTTTTTCTCAGGATAGGGTCATATAGTGTTTCCTCAGTGTAGTTATTCTTTATTTTTGGTTCCTGTTCTTTCTCTCATAATGGAAAATCTGTAACAGGTGGCCACAGGCACACCAGACTTTCATGCTTGGGAGCATAAAGGACCATATGCTGTATGATGGCATGTATGGAGATAATAAGTTGTAGGAATAGGCAACCAGCTTCTATGAAAAATAAGAGCTGACCTGAAGTTTCGATTCAAACTTGGTTAAACTAAAACTTTCTCTGTTCTCCACTGTGCTTGGTTGTTTTTCTGTTTTCCTGCCTACTAGCTGGTTTCAGCTGGAAGTGAATTTTTTTCAATTTGTGAGGAGGAATGCTCTGACATTTTTACCAGCCACCCTGGGTGAGATCCGGGACCCTTGAAGTCAGTTGGACTTTTGCCATTGGCTTTAATGTGGCCAGAATTTCACTGCATGAGAACTGTTTTGCTTGATTCTGGATAGGGTATGTCAGAAAATAACAGGAATCTTCAAGATGGGGGCTTTGTGTGAGATTTTGCACCACATGCTTTCTTGGTCTAAAAGTGGTCACTTTTCTTCCAGAAGACAGGATGATGCTTTTCCAGCATGAACCTTCTCTTTAATATTCCCACGTTAGTGGTGATTTGCTATTGACCTTTAGTTTCCTTTTGTTAGACAATTTGCAGTTAAAGAGTTTAAATTCTCTTTGGAAGAGCCTGTTTGTGAATATACGAGATAACAAAAATAATGTTGGTTTAAGCTGAATTCAGCCCATGCTGTACAGCACTATTTACCCAGAGGTTGTACCACTCATCCTTCAGCCCCAAACTGAAGTCTATTATCTAAGCTGGCATCAGGTGCTATAGACACTGGATTTCCCTATTTCCCAGTAAGCTAAGCTGACTTTTAATTCCTTATTCTGGGTCTTGGCCAAGATGAGATTTTGTGTGTTTTGTTTTGTTTTGTTTTTCAGAGGCTGCTTAATGTCAGTCTCTAGTTTGTAAGGAAGAGAGAGGTGGGTTTTATGAATATGTTAAAAGTATTGCTGATCTGAACATAGGCAAGAAATAACATTGTGTTGGTCAGAAAATACTCTTCATAAAGATCTTACAGATACTGTTGCCTGCTTAAAGGTATGCCAGAACTGTTTGTGTGAAAAAAGTAGAAGCGAAACTGGGTTAGCCCAGATTAGTTATCGGAAACCTAACCTGGTTTTTTTGGTTTTGTTCCGCCCCCCCCCCCCCCCCCCGATGGTGGGACAAGTTCATTTAGCAGTTGATGATCTTGCACGCTTTTCCACTCACACAAGTGCAGTCAGAAATGCTGTGAGAAGATTACTGTTAAGGTCAGAACAAGTAATATGCAATTTGTGTGCAGACAGGGTATTTTGAGGGAGTTAGGGGGAGAAAAAACATTATTAAAGGATGCATACAATGGAAAGGATGTATATATGTTGCATACAAGGAAAACTTGTCAAGTCACTTTGTCTCACTGTAGTCTTTTATTTAAAGAGTTCTGTAATTACAGGCTGATAATTTCTTCCTGAAATACATATTAATTAGATCTGGATCTGATCACAGGTTTGATGCCAGTTTGAAAAATCTTTTCATTTAGAACTCTCATCCTTTGCAAAAAAATCACCACAAAACACAGCTTTTCACTGTAAATAACTTCAGTCTGTACACAAGGCCTTGTACTTGTCCGTCAGTACTACCATCTTTTTTTACGTTTATTAAAAAAAAAAAGAAGTCAGATTTGGTGTTTGCAAAAGCAGCAATTGCTCAGAATATCTTGTAATGACTGCCCGTGGACTGGAGGGGAGGGAAGAGAGTTGAAATGGAAAATGAATTAGATTCTTAGGCTGTGGAAGGGGGAACATTCCTGCACAGAGAAGCGACTCTGGAGATAAGTTTTAATTTCCTGAGCTCCCGTCTCTATATAGGAACATTGAAAGACTTCCTTCCTGATAACCAAGTCAAGCCAGGGGCTATATTAAACGATGTGTTTCTGTATATAATTGCGTGCTTGTATATGTATTTGCATACTTGCAGTATAAATACAAATAGTGTACCTATAATGATAGCAGTCAACTTTTAAAGTGTGTTGCATGTATTCAAGGTCTGGCATATACACTGCGCCTGAGATGTTGTAATAGATCAATATCTATTTAGACTTGTATAAAGGATCTGTTTCATACTTTGTCTCTACTTAGAAAACAAAAGCCAACCAAAAATAAAAATGAAAAAAACTTGTTTTGCAGTTTTAAGAGGATCTGGGTTATGGTGCACCTTTAAGAATGATCAACTCGCTGAGGTAGATGTGTTACAGATTTCTAAAGCATATGTCTCCCGTATATGCAATATTGTTATAACCATTTCTGTCTTACTAAGGTCTCATCGTTCTGTGATTACTTAGGGAAAACCATGAAGCTCACTATGAGTGATATATTAGTAAGCATTTCAGGAACAAATGTTAGGAGACTTTTTGGTTGTTTATTTGTCTACAGTAGGCACAAAGCATTTACAAAAAAAAGTATAGGTCACCCCAAACTCTGCAAGTATATTTGCAAAAATATTTTTCAGAGCCTTAGATTGTGTTTCATTTTAGCAATTTTAGTTTCTAGTAAAACCGTTTTAATTTGCTGTTCCCATCTTTGGTTCTTTTTTTTTTTTTTAAATGAATCCCAGTTTTTCTTTCTATATTATAGGACCTTGGGATAAAACTGTAAGTCTAAATAAGTAATACCGTGCTAAGCAGAGCCACGGTATAACTTGCTTTGTGAAGCACAGATTTACTTGAATTACAGACCATTGTCTGGATATCCCAAACTGTAAAATAAAATTACTTACATCCCTCATTGCAGTTTGTACAACAGCATCAGAATTAAAGGTATTACTGAGCTGTTTTATGTTTATCAGTTAACCTACTGTAATGTCAGATACTTCACTAAGTTGCTATGAGCTTTTAGTATTATAGGTTTTAATTCCACTTGTCAATAGCTCATTCTTATAGTTATTTTTTTTAAAATAACCATTCATAATTAAGATTTAGCCCCAGAGTATCTATTTTGTATTACAATGAGAGACTTTGTATCGGCTTAGACAATTTTAGAAAGCACCAAATGTAAATATATTGATGGTACACAAGATTGGAAAATGACTTTCAATTATTTCTAAATTGGACAAGTGTATCTACTGTATAAATGGAACTTTATAGACTATGTAGTTGTTTAACTTTTTCTGTAGAACAACTTTGGAAAAAGGGAAAAAAGCCGTGAACTTAAAGAGATTCTGATGGTGTTAAAGTGTTGCCAAGCAAACCGTAAAAGATAAGTCAAACTGTAATTCTATAGAAAAGCTATGAAATACTTCTACATATGTGCTGTAGTTGTTTTGGGGTTCCTGAAGCTGCTTGTGTGTAAAGTCAGCTGTGGAAATAGCTAGCTAGCTAAAAGCTATGATTCCTGCAGCTTGACTGTTGTGGGGAGATTTTTTTCTGTGACAACAGTGGTAAAGTGGAACATCTGAAAGATATGTTCCATGCAAAATGGATCTTCACACACATTTATTTTGACATTTAGGTTTGATTTGAGAGAGAGAGAAGATTCTGAAATAGCCATTCACAGATGGCTTGTGCTGGTTTTATTTTTTTATATGCTTCTCTCTGTTTTTGGTTTGGGGTGGATTTTGTTGCATGTGTTTGCAGACTTGTCAATCCCCCTCTTCCCCCAGATCACATGTTTAATTTTTTATGACTTGATTTTTTGTCCTGGTTTCCAGAAGCTGTTGTTTAAAAAACAAGAAGAAAAAAAAAGGGAAAAAACAACCCCACCCCAACAACAAAACACCCCAAACCAGCCAAACAAAAAAAACCCCCTCACCCCCCCCCCCCCCCCAAACCCCCCCGAAACCCCCTCCCTCCACAACAAAAACTTTTTGGGGCCTGGG